GAGCTTGCTTTAAATCTAGGAATTACTACCCTAGGTTACAAAGAAAAAACAGTGCGATGTAGATGTGGTCTTTGTAATCGATCGTTCGGCTGGTTCTACACCCTTATTCGACAAGCAGATCAGTTTTGCGACATCGTTGGTTGACAAACTTCTGTCTAATAGTGCAAACCTAAAACGTCTTCAAATAGGAGCCATTAGTTTTGCTTCGGTATTGCTATTATTTGTTTCCAATTGTTTTTAAAACTGAAAATGTTTTTATTCATTAAATATCATAATGATTGTAACAGTAAATGATGTTTAGGAGGCTCAAGTTGACTTGGAATTTGGTTTGGATCGTGAAGCGAAAATCATTGATAAGGAAATACTGGCTATCAATCAAACGGTTGATGAAACATCGCTGGTTTCTGGGATTTCTTTAGCAATAAAGGTTCCAGTTTTTTTTTTTCTTAGCTTTTTGAGACAGAGATCCATAACGATAAATAGCTTGGCTTGGCTTTTCAAAGTAACCTCCTGTGCAGTTTTCTTTTCTATAAAGGCAGTGATAAGGTTGCATAATTATAATTTTAATATTTTGTCATTCAGTTTGCCCAATCTACCCGGAGGCCCAATGCTGAACTAGTAATGTTTTTAATTTCGGACGGAAAAAGTCAAGAAGATCTACAAGTGATTGCTAAACAAACGGGGTCGGCGACCTTGCTGTTTTTCATACTTTTTTTGTTGCTTATTGGTATACTTGCAAAATGGCACTTAAACCTGCATTAAAACTGATTCCTATTTGCTTTATTTTCCTTTTACAGAGATAGTTCCGTAGTTTTCAATTTTTTTGAAGTACTTTTTTTTAGCATCTTACATACTTTGCCAAAAGGTCATTTTTATGCTGCGAGCTTCAATGATGACAACAAAGCAATTGATTTGGAAAAACTTGCGCTTTTTGCTAGTAGTAAACATCATGTATTTATCGATAGACCTTCCAGTCCTTTTGTAAATAAAGCAGGTAATAATAATTTCAGCTCTTCTAAACAACGTCAAGCTTCTTCTCCCTGATTCAATTATTCTTAGCTTTTATAATGATTTTTTAGTTTGGCTACATGAAGTTCAGAACAGTAGTTAAATAAAGGCGATCATTTCGGTTTTATGCATCCAGTTATCACTATGCCTTATCCTAGCAACAAAAATCTTTTCAGATTAAAGATTTGAAGTAACATCTAATTTCTTCCATTTTAGAAGATGATATTAACAACTGCGTTTGGGGCACTGATGAAGGAACGGAGGTTGCAACAAAAAAACCAACCGAATATAAAAGCGCTGAAAAGAGTTATGTGACAACCCTTGAATGCTGTAAGCATTAGACAGTTATTATTGTGGCAGTCAATGAAAAGTACCAAATAAAATAAATACTTCTTTTGAGTTTACCCGAATTTTAACCCAATTTTTTGTTGACGAAATCTGCATTAATTTTACAAATTTTAGCTCCATTAGACCTGGTTATATTGCTGGACCAAACAGCTCCAAAAGCTGATCATTTTACAAAAAGTAAAACAGCTGTAATTGAACTGCTGCAAAGCCTGGAACCAAAGGTGTTCAATTCTTATGTAAATACAGCTTTGGTAACATTCAATGATGAACCAGAACTTATAACAAGCTTAAAAGTGCAAACTCCACAAAGCGGTTTAGTCAAAATAATTGATGAACTTGAACAAAAACTTGAAGTCTCTTCAGTCGCAAAAGGTTATTCTTTGCTTCTTCGCAACCTCGTTATTTTCAAAACACCCCAACTACAGATTATCAACATCAAAACTCCAAACTTTGGCAATTTTTTATGATACGTGATGTATATCTGTTTAGCTGCTAGCGTAGCTGTTGATGAAATATCCGAAAATCATCGTAAGGACGCTAAACTTGTGTTCATTATATTCTCTGATGGCGGTATTCGAAACTGCTCCAACAGCACTAAAAATACTATTAAAAAACTACACAGTCAGAACTTTTTTTCATTCTCTTACCTGCGCAAAAAGAAAACTATTACTGTTTTTTTTTT